AAATGAGAAGCGTAGAGGGAAAAAGAGGAGAAAGAGAGAGAGAGAGAGAGAGAGAGAAAAGGAGGGATCCAGGTCATACTAGTCACGCGAATTTGATTCCACAGAGCGCTTGTTCCGCCTCGAACCATCCCTTTCATCCCCATAGCGACTTCAATGTCAAACACTTTACATCTGCGCGTGACAGACTCATCGATTCCCGCGCTTATTTCTTTCCGCTCCGCTTTTTCTCAGTCCCATAAAAAAAAAAAAAAAAAAAAAAAAAAAGAAAGAAAGAAAGAAAATGTACACCGAGTGTATCGGAATAACGCGTCTCGATACTCGGCCGTGATGATTTTCAATTAAACGTCGCGCTCCTCTCGATCAATCTCCCTTGAATGGAAGATTCGCACACTTTCTTCTCTCAATTGCGAATCCTTCGAGCGATATTGAACAAAGAAGAAATTGGATTTCAATGATATTTCAAAGTGGAAGTATATCGATTCATATACATATTTATATATTGGTAGAACAGATTTTTACCATTGAAATATTATTTGAATCTTCAAGTTTTTGATGTTTCTCGAAACATTTGCAATTGGAAAGCGTGTATTTTATTTTCTTTTTTTTTTTTACTGGTAATTTACAAGATAGGATATTAAAAAGTTGTACAAATTATAATTAGGCGAAGGAAGCAAGTCTAATCTAACCGAGGCACGCTATCAATTCACCGATAACACTAATAACGGGTATTGTTCCCTTTTTTTCCCTTTCAAGACCATGGTGTTCGATAAGAAAGAGAGAAATTCATTTGTTCGCGTTTCTATTTCAAGTCGGCCGGTCCCGCGACCGAAAGCAACGGGCACAATAGCCCCGCAGAGGACAAAGGGAGTATCAATCGTGGCGTCCAACCAACGAAACCGTGAAAAACACCCCACCGTCGTGATGAATTTCTAATCCTTGGAAATTTCCTCCTCCAAGAGGGAAAGAATAAAAATGGAGGAATGAACGGTGTATATATGTGTATGTATATGTATATACATTCGTGAAAACGGTGACACGTCCTTATTGAAAAGAATCCAAGAAGTTCCATCGAAAAGGGGGATGGATTTTGGTAACCAATAACTTGGATTCCTAGCTCTTTCGCGGATATAATCTCGATTCTCTCTTTCCTCATCTTTTGCTCCACTGTATTTCTCTCTATTTTCAAAAGAAACGTCTCTGAGAATCGCGAGAATGGAATAATACAAATGAACAAGAGATAGACGGTTCTTTTTATCATTTAATTCTTACTACGTTTTGGAAAGTTGTTCGTATCGATCAAATTTTAAACTCGTGTGTGCCAATTTTAAAAATTGGGCCACACGTGTTTCCATCAGTTCTTCTTTTCCAATACGGGCACACGTATTCTGTGATGAAGATAAATACTCTCAACTTTTTTTTCTAGTGTAAGATATATATCTTTATTGCAAGTAGATTTTAAATGACAATGACGAAACTAATAGAATAAGAATAAGAAGATTTAATCAAGATATTTCCTTCCTAAACCTAGATATTTCATCGAATCTCTTACTTTCCCGATACTTTCTTCGCCCAATTGAAAATGAAATATTATTATCTCGGATCAACGCGCTTTAGAAAAATTCCAAAAAAAGAATCTTTCGAACAGCTTTTAAAAGATAAGAAATTAGTAATTTCACGCGAATGCAACACACGAGAAGGAAGAGAAATATTCACCTGCATCCCCCTCTCCTAGGCTCGAAAGGGTCAAACTCGATTAACCGCGGGGGAAACACGGGGGTATAATATATTCTCTGTCGCTCGCGATATTATATTTCGCGGACGGAAGGATAGGTTGCTCCGTTCCGTGCTGGTGTGTGCTTCGTCGTTTAATCACGGCCGTGCAATTCAATTAAGAGCATTCTGAAAAATGTAATTTTTCCCCTCCCCGGGGCCATATTCGCGAGAGAGAGAGAGAGAGAGAGAGAGGGGGGCGGAATGCAATTATTTAGAGATGTAATCGTTTCTCTCGGCTTCGCGCTGACGCCGCGCTTAAAGAGAGCGCGATCTCTTATCCCGGATCCGGATGGAAAGAAGGAGGAAAGAGACGTAATTGGGTCGGACAAAACGGCGTGTACAACGCCTCTTCCGCCTTCAACTTCCGCCATTTTCCTAGGCCCCGTTGAATTTAATTGAACCTCCTCGAATTCTTCGAAGCTTCTCGAAGCTTCGAGGAAAAGAATTTTTCCGAAACCTTTTTTTGCTACAGATTTTCTCGATTCGTTTAAACGCTCGCGACGAAAGGAACGAAATTTTAGAAGGAAAAGAAATTGCGAAGGGGGATTGATCGAGTTGGAACGACGGGATAAAGACACGTAAGTTTCGTTAAGTTCGTTATTCGTTATGATGATTCGAGAAATTTTTCATTCTTGTCGAGTTATTCCAATTTCCATCATATCGTTCACTCATAATTGAAGTTGCTGTCGACACCCAAAAGCGAATTCTTCGAGCACGAGTGGCGCCATTTCCGGTTAAAATTTCCCAGATTCCACTCGGTCCATCACACCGTCCCACTTAAACGCGTGTCTCTGAATCTTCGATCGCGCGAATATTTATCCCCATGGATCCGATTGCCTCGATCCATCGCCACGGTTCCCCGATCTTTCGATGATTCCGTACATAAGGGGCCATCCTTCTCTTCCAGCTGACCAACGTGACGCGTCTCTTCCCTCGAACCGATCTTTATTATTCATGATTTCATGAATTTTCATTCTCCTCGTGGCTCCAGAGAGAGAGATTGCTCGTTACTTAAGCCGGGTATGGAAGGATGCGTGAGGAGGACGAGTGAATGTAAACGCACGGTCGAGAGAGAGAAAGAGGAAGAAAGAAATATATATATATATTCCGTGAACCGTAAAATTCGCCGTGGAGAAGGGAGAGGAAGGGGTGGCCCAGTAACGTTTGACGTCACCACGACAGACTTCGCCTCGCCCTTCCTCCCCTCTCTTGGCAAGAATGGAGGCGGCGTGACCAGGTGACCGATAATACCTCTCGGTTTCAAGGATGCGGAAGAATCGACCTCGTCTCGTCCACGACGACGATCATCCGAGGAATCGTCTTAAGGGAGGGAGGGGTTCTTTGCCTCTCGATGGAAAAATCAAACGGGATTCTCGCGAATCTCGAAAACTCGGAAGAGGAAGAGGAAAAAAGAGAAAGAAGAGAAAGAAAATCGTAATCGATCCGCAAGAAAATTTTCAACTCTTTCTGCAATTTCCGTTTCGCATCGAAACGCCTCTTTCATTTCGCGCGTTTGAGCGATAACACGCTCGACGGGTGCTCTCCACTCTACTCTTTTCGTCGCCTTTCACCGACCTCGACTCGGGATAAAAAAGGAGAGGGAAAAAAAAAAAAAAAAAAAGAAAGAAAGCGGGCAGCAGACCGGTTAGGTGTCGGAGACTTTTTGAGACTTTCGAGGGCGTAACGGCGTTATGAAAGCCCGGAAAAACGGCAACACGACAGCGTTGTGAAGAAAAAAAGGTTGAAAGATTGAAGTTTACACGCGCTAATCGTTTCGAGGGTGGAAGAACTTTTCAAGCTTGGATAAAATAGGGAAGATTAAGCGTCGGAATCTGATTTCGGATGGGGAGAGTGCATTAATCGAACGGAGGAAGAGATCACGTCGCGAATTACGATAGTGGGATGGACCCAATTCTCGTTCCCGTTTAACTATCACGTATATCCCCTCGAGGGCCTCGTTATTTCCGCGGCAAATGCGGCAACAACAGATGGAATGGTACTCGAGTAGAACGGAGAAGGATGAAATGCGACACCAGCAGGGATGAGGGTAGGATACGATGCTTTATAAGGAGATCTAAATCGGTTTCGTTGCGTTTTCTCCTGTTTCCGATGATTAAGTCCAAAATGAGTCTGGCTCCGTTTACTTTGATCTTAATTCTAATTCGAGATATTCCAGATATCCCCAGTTGTATCATGGATCCTTTAATGGACCTAGGGGATCTTCGAGGGTCTTTCGTTATCCGCCAATTGTTTCGATTCGTTTCGCGATTCAACGCCTCCGCTAAATCTTTCGTTAGAAACGGAAACGACCCGCTTTAATTCCACCTATACATATTCTTTGTAACTGCCTTTATTCACTGTCCAACTTGGACAGATTTACTTCACTTTTCTCCTTACGATATCACTTGTCTCATTCGATTCCATTCGTCGATAGTTTCGCTTCGCTTCGTCCAACCACGTTCGCTCTCCCGCCCCGCCACGAGAGAACCGTCTCGCTCTGATCAATGTCGCCCCACTTATCCCGCGAATAATGAAACTTATAATAACCAAATGAACACGTCTCGTCCTTAATTGAAATGCAAATGGGAATGCCTTACAGTGGCCGGTGACGAACAAGTTATTTCACCCCTGTCCGCGGGCGAAGGGAGGGAGGGAGGCATCGTCCCATTTCACGGCAGCAGAGCGTTTCAAGGAGAGGAGGCCACGCCGTAAATTAAATTGAATTAGACTTTAACGCGCGCGTAATACTCACACGCGGGTCGTTTCACGTTTCCAGGCACGCCAACGCCCACGACTTTTATGAGGAACGGCTCCCATTGTTGAGGCAACGTAACCCAGTTCGTAACGCCGACCGCGTAAAACTTGCTATTACGGGGAACAACGATCGAAAAACTTTCGGACGGAGCGCGGAAAAAATTACGGATGCCGTGTTTCGAGCCCGTTTTCGAGGGGAACTTGGACTTGTCGCGAGGAAACTTGCGAAGAAAAGGGAAATATCAAGCGTAACGTTTATTCCCTTCTCCCCCAAAAAGAAACAATATGATTAAATCGAGAATAGGATGAAATTTTCCTCCTTTAGTTATCTTGAATCACAACGATACTCGAGTCGAGTTGAACCCGTTCACCGATCGAAAAGGCGCGATCTCTGATTTCGAATGTGGTGGGAGATCGAGTTAATCGAGATTTACCGCTCGCTTGAACCGTTGGCCGTTGGGTTTCTGTTCCAGCTTTCAGAGGACATAGGCTACGTACTTTACTCGGCGCTCGGCAGCTTCTACATCCCGTCGTGCATCATGGTGTTCGTGTACATACGCATTTACTTCGCAGCGAAGGCGCGGGCGCGCCGCGGGATCCGGAAGCCGCGTCCACGCGCGGTCGTTCCGCCCGAGTCGCCGGACGTCAGGCAGACGAGCTTCACGCAGAGCACGCCCGCCACCGAGGGGAAGAAACCGCCTCCTGGCTCCGCCATGGAGAACGTCGCCACTATCGAGAACCAGCCCGTTCAAATACCCATCGTCACGTGCGACTTTGCCAGCGACGTCAGCACCTCCGAGGCGGATCCCGGAGGGGGGAGCAGTATCCCCATGGAGGAGAAGGACACGCTCAAGGTTCGCAATCACTCTGTTACTTCGCTTCTTCTTTCGAGAACTTCATCAAAATTCCTCCAATTCGATCGAGTTTAAAAACAAAAGAGAGAAATCCACGCGTGTCTTCTCTTCGATAAGAATAAAAATTTCGAGTAAAGACGATATATCGAATAATTTTCGATATATTCTCGTACAACGAGGAGGGTGAAAGCGTAACGCCAGCTACACTTACGGGGAGGAATGAAAATGTTCCTTCTCTGTTACTTGGTATTTCACATTGGTGGAATGCGATATTGTCGAACAAATATTATTCCTCGTTATCCGAGAATATTGGAGCAAGTTGTTCGACTCGTATTCCCGAATATTTATATCTTATTTTTCCTCTCAATTTTCCTCATCCATTCCGTAACGTCAAACATCTTTCCAAGCCTTTCCTCTAACCTAAGTGGTAGCAGATTCTCAAGCCTTGGAGACACGCGAGACACCTGTCTCCGCGCTCGTATCCCGAGTGCACTTACCCAATAACTTCAGTCTCGTGGCGGGAATCTGAATAGATCCGGTTTGACGTTACAGTCACGAACGCCCTCCTCGAGATCCTCGTGCACAGCGTAAAAGCGGAGTCCGTAAATCTGAGAAATTGGATTTCGGTTTCGTCGTGTACCGATCCCTCTTTTTTTTCTTTATCGTTGCTGCGTAAATTCGAACTCACCGGAGTTCGTAAATCGAAGATATCCCTTACATTCGTAGATATTATTGAAGATACTTATAGAATGTACGAGGTCGATTATTTTAATTACTAGTCGAACGAATTCAGCGTATAATCGTTCGTTGATCTTTGGGATAAATTGGACGCGCTGAATTTCACTTTTCTTCGGTATATAGAAATTACTTTAAAGATTCTTTGACATACGTCTCGTGAGAAAAGACTTATTCGATCTTAAATCTAAAAAAATCTCTTGATTTCTTCCGATTCATCGAGTGACCCGTCTCGTCGACCAATTCCAAAACGTTCTCAATAATTTCCCTCTCCCCTTTCCGATTCTCTCTTCTACTCCACCACGATTTATCATCTTCAGATTCTTTGAAATCGTGCGAATCTGTTGGACAGGTGACGATGCCGGTTCCGGTGCAAAAGAGCAGCCTGAAGGCGACGCTGTCCGTGAACGGTGACGGGCAGTCGAGCGTCCCGTCCCGATGCAGGGCGCCCAGCGTCGGTATCGACGTCGACATGGTGTCCGAGTTCGATCCGTCGTCGTCGGACAGCGGCGTCGTTTCGAGATGCGCGGTCGTGAAGCCGCTCAAGCTTCGCCTCTGCCAGCCCATTTTCGGGCGCAGGAACATCGGCAAGCTGAGGAGGGAGCACGGGGGGGACGGGGGGCGGGCGTCCGGCAAGGACGACACGGGAGGCGAGGCGAAGTCGTCCAAGCCGCGGGACCCGGAGAGAGAGAAGAGGAGACTGGCGAGAAAGAAGGAGAAACGAGCCACGCTGATACTTGGCTTCATAATGGGCAGCTTCATCGCTTGCTGGCTGCCATTCTTCGTCCTCTACATCGCGAAACCTCTTTTCCCAAACGTCAAGATACCGATCCAGGCGTTCGTGATCGCGTTCTGGCTAGGTTACATGAATTCTGCCCTAAACCCCTTCATTTACACCGTCTTCAACAAGGACTTCCGCCGAGCGTTCCGCAGGATACTCTTCAAATAATCCCGTCGTCCCTGGACGAACGTTCGCGAGCCAGTTCTTCCAGGTAAAAGAAACGAGAATCGTGGGGCGTGCGGATCGCTCTCGCGATTGGACCGGGGTGGAACGTCGATCGTAGGATCAAGCAAGAGCATTTGAGAAGGAGACGCGTTATTTCTCTTTCTCTTACGTATACAAAGTGCGCGTCAATTGTCGATACGATGGATTGGACGATTCGTTCGAGACGAGAGAAACGTTTCTCGAGAAGGTTTCTTCTTGAACGAGCGCGAGCGCGTCTTTCCAGGAGTTAAAAAGCTCGGCTGAAAATTCGACGGCTACGTCGAACGACGATGAATCTCTCGAATCTCGAGAATGTAATCGGGCCGCGAACGGTGTTTCGCCAACAGCTGCCTCCGCAGCTCGGATACGCAACCTCCGACTGGTCGTCGATTCGACGCGACACCATCGAGGACGGATGGAATTCGAATTAATCCATCGAGAGAGCGAAAAGACGTCAAAGATCCGTTCCTCGATTTACGAAGATCGCGAGATCGAGCCTTCTCCATCCTCGCCCACCTCGCCATCCATCTTCCCTCCCGAGGAGGAAGAGAAGAAGAGAGACAGGAAACGCACACCTCTTTCTCCGATATTCCGTATGTGGCAACGTTCCTTGCACGGTCCGATTGTAAAATTAAAATTTCGTCGCGACAATCCACTCAATTATCGATGTGTATCGTGAATATGTAGATATGTATAGCATATGCGTGTGTGTATATAATGCCCCGCCCCCCGCGTAATTTTCCGTATATCAAAGATATATATATATATATATCTTTAATACGAATCGTAGGGGAGCGTGAGTGAGAAAGAGAACACCTCTGTCGCGTCTAGTTTCGCTCGATTTCACGTCGAAATTATTCTTCGATTCGTGGCTCGTGTATTTGAAATTTTCGATGCGCGAGTAATCGGATACGAAGTTTTCTTGGAAGAGAGAGAGTGAGTGAGTGAGTGAGTGAGTGAGTGAGTGAGTGAGTGAGTGAGTGAGAGAGAGAGAGAGAGAATCGCGACGCGCGCGTGTGTGTGTCAAGGAGGATGAAAAGCGATGAAAGGAAGAGAAAGAGAGGAGAGGAGAGATTTCTCTCGATCGAAATGATTTTTTGGGGAGGAACAGCGCGAAACTGATGATTTCCACGATATTTGTGTACGCGATCGGGAGGCACGATCTCGCGGAGGGACGAGGATCTCGAAGCGAGATGAAGGGAGCGAGAAACGATGATCGTCATTGTAATCGAATAGAAGAAGCATGTTTCTCCTATTATAAATATAGGCCCGTACGTCACACACCGCGTTTATTAAGGGACGGTTTACGGTTGTTTAATCGTGTAATCCACCACGTCTTTTTTTCCAATTTTATCTATTTAAGGAATAAGAAGAAGTGAGAATGGCGAACATTCGTACGTATTATTAAAATGACGAAAAAAAAAAAGAAAAAAAAAAAATCGTAGGAATTTTTCCAGTTTAAAAAATCGAATGGGAGGAGGGGGAGGGGGAAGAGTGCGGAGAAGACTTCGATTCTGATTATTTTGGACGATCGATTTTGGGATCGTCGGTGGGGATATTAGATGGTGGAAATATTAAAAGCGGGCAGGGGTGCGTAGGGGTTAATAACCTTGTGGCCAGTATCGGCCAAGCATTCGCAGCGTCGAAGTGTTATTGCGCATTTAACGTCACGCATCAGCAATAAACAAGTAACAAGTTGTTTATATACGAGGGAGGCATACGTATTTTGCAATAAAATGAAATTGAACAAACACCTAGTTAATAATAATTATTATTCGTGCCACTATCGAGAAGAGGATACGGAAGAGTTGCTGTTGTCGTTAAATGGACGCGTTCTAATTAAAATATGTACAATAGAATTCCATTCAACCGACACTCCATTCAACGGAACGAAATTTTCGTAATTAAGCGAACTCTACCCGAGAGTTTTCTATTATCTGGATTAGTTGTTAAGCATCGCTCGAATCATACGTCTCTGCTACAAATGAAAATATAAATACAACGACGAAATAAATAGAAGGACGAGTTCATGTTGATTCGAGGAACGCGTTACGATTAAATTCACCTACGGTCAATTATAAAGATCTGATATCCATCTTGAGAATTTTTATTTCACCACACAAATGCGTAGAGCATAGGGATTATATGTGGAGCGATTGATTTTTCCACGAAGAATCACCTTCGAATCGACATTTTTATCATTTTTCATGCAATTTCGATTGAAAAATACTTTTTCTTTTAAAAACAAGTATGTTAAAAGGATAAACTTGAAACTCAAAGTGATATTATACGCTATTAGAAAATTTCTCTGTGTATAATCCATTGCGATCCACCATTATATCTCATAATCTAAGCTTGAATTCTGTAATTTATTTGAAAATCACAACGAGCGAAGGAATTCAGTGAACAATTACACAAACTCCATGTGAATGGAATTCTACCATACAAAAATACGATATATATACCATTGAAATCCCACATTTATTCGTTCTCGCGTCGTTAAACGTGCGACGAGGTTAAAAATTTCGATTTAGGACGAAAAGAAGAGGAACACGTTTGTTTGGCAAGGATAAATTTCGATATATGAAATATTCAATTTGGTTACTCCCGTTTAAAGATAAACACCGGTGTTTTATTTGTTTATTGACGCCGCCAACACGAAGGAGAGAGTTGCGCCGTTTCAATTATTACGCAGCATTACGCAATGTTTGTGCGCCAATTCGCGATCGTTTTATAATTTACCTGCTCGTCGAGATATCGAATCTATCCTCGAAATCGATCAAGCTTAATGGCTTAAAAATCTGTCATCTCCTCTTTTTTCAATCGCAGTAACACTTTGCATAAATTGTATTAACTTTTAAACTTTTAAACTTTTAAAAAGATATCTGAAATCGTACATTTTTATTTGGAGATATAATTTTTTGAAATTTGGCGAGATCGAGGAGCCGAATTTCAAAAAAACCAAAATTCGATTGATCTTTTGCACTCCATTCTTTTTCCCTTTGAGGAGACATCGTGGCGAACTTGGATATTAAGGAAACACAACGAGATACTTGTGATCACATCGTGCAAAGGATTAAAAATTGCGACGAACAAAACGATACTTGTGAAAAAGAAAAGGAGACACAAAAATAGATATTCAAAATTTGGAGAGTTTCGAGTTAGAAAAAATAGCGAAAAGGTTTCAAGATTCGTGAGAATTGTTGACCGAATTCTCGAAATTCTCGAATATTTCAATAACTTTCCTTTCTTCTTGATTAATTTTTTCGAAATTGAAGTTGCACGCAAACCACTTTTTCACGAACGCGTGGCCGAAACATGGGCACACTTTCTCCACCGACAGAGATCCGTCGAAACGAATCAAAGAGGAACATTGCTCGTAAATCGAAAAAACGGCCCCACCCACGGCGTCGGGACAAAATTTCGGGAAACAATTTCCCCTGGTACTTTTCCACCGTTGCATTCAATCTGCCCTTTCTATTTCGCAGATTAAAGATCATCCCCGTCGTTTGGAGGAATAAAAAAAATTACTCTCCAATTTCTGTGTGAAGGTAACGGTTCGAAATCCGGCTATTTTCGGTCCGGGATTAGGAGTTAAGAGCCATGATACGTTTCACGCGGCCAACACACGCTCGCCATACCGTACCCCGAACACTGCTTTGCGAACGATCTTGTACAAATTGCGGGACGAAATTTCTGTTCAGAAGTGGACAGCTCCGTATTTTGGAAAAGAACGAATCGAAACGTGGTATTAAATAAGAGAAATTTCATTCGAACGTTTCTATAGAACTCTTTTCGAACTAGAACTCTTTTCGTTTATGCGAAATTTTAATAACGTTCGATTGTTAGCTGATCGAGCTTACATCACACGAATATATATATATATATAATTTATCAAGTGACAATTATACCTGTGTCATCGCTTTTCACTCGATTCTCAAGTAATAAATATTTATTCCTTACGTCGATGAGATATAAGATCGATAAATTAACGACAATTCTACTTTTCTTTTAGAGCCCGTTCATTCTTCCTGAGCCTGTTCGATATCGAATTTCATTCGAATAAAAATAATTCGTCGAAATTCTGTTCGAATTACGCGAACAGCTTTATTGATTAAAATTTAAAACGAATTAAAATGAACTTTAATTATCGACAACTCCGTCGTAAATAAAGTTTTTTTTTTTTCCAGTCCGAAAAAACGAGTCCATTTTCCGCGTAACATTGGCTCGATGACCAGTGGCGTCTAATTTACGAATCAACCGCGGCCTCTTCGCAGCCGGCCCCCGGCCGCTGTACATATGCGTGCACACGCAACGAGCTACAACGCGATAAATCAATAAACCGTGCACACATACGTCGCGATGCACACGTGCGCCTGTGGCTTTCTCCTGCATGCCGCGTCATCTCTCTGTCTCTTTCAAGCTCGACGCGTTGCACGAGTCTAACTAGGGCAAAGTGTCGAGAGGGAACGGACAAACGAGACGTATTCCTCCAGTGTATCAATAAGAGCCGATAAGATTGAGTAACTGGATGGATTATTAAAGTATGGATCGATGAAGAACGAGATACGGTTTCATAGATTTTTTTCTCGATTTTTGTTCAGACAAAACGGATTGAAAAAGTATTTGATGTATAATTTTTCGAAACGCATTACGACTGATCAACGTGGAAGAATAGCAGGGAGGGGATTTTTTACAGTCGATTTATAGAAAATTGATTTCAAATGTTTCGAGAAACGTGACAAGCATTGGTTATTTTTTTTTTTATCGAGAATGGGTGTCGGGTTTCGAAAGTTCTCGCCAGTATTTTATCAAACGGAGATTGCCCGAGTAACAGTAAGTTTTATCTTCGCGAAGCCGATGTCCGAGAATTCTCGAGAATTTTACTTCACCGTTTCGTCTCGAGAGTGGACGTTCTTTCTCAAGTGGACGATACCGGAATTGACGATGATTGTTGTTCGAGAATAACTTTTATCTTCAAAGTGATTCTCGAGAGATTAAACTTCGCGTAAGGATCCGGTGAGAATAATTTGAGAATTGCTCTCGAGACCGAAGAAACTGAAGCTATAAGCTTTATATATCGATCCGATTTTCCATATTTTTTCCACTTCGAAAATGTAACATCAGAAATTAAAATACGGAGAAAAATGGACGGATTTCGCGATTTTTTCCGATATTCCAAAGAGGAATCCTCCTCCAAACCCTCGTCCAATCCCCGGCCTTCGCGAAATATTACATCGCATACTTTGTAAATCTTCGTATTAGACGGACGACCGGATTCTCGGGAATTTATCGTGCACGAAATAAAAGGGCTGGAGATGAGACCTCCCTCCCCTCTTCCCCTTTTCCAGAGATATTATGTTACCCGTACGCGTAAACGAAAGCCGGATATGGATACGTGGTAACCGAGCGGAATTTACGTTCTAACCGCGAGACAGGATGCACGGTAATATTTTAGACGATCAAGCATCGATGCGTCGCGCTTTTCTCTCCTCCCTGATCGTCTCCCCAACGCTCTGGTATTTCCAATAGCTACACGTATCTCACTACGAATCTCGTATGAATCACGTTTTCGATCGCGTTTCGATTTATTTACAAGTGATCGAGCTGGAGAGACAGAGATGCCTTTCGCTTCTCGTCTCT